GGGGGGGGTCTTATTTTCAATTTATGTATATATTTTACAAATAGTTTCTAACCTGCTAAGACACAAACATTAATGAGTTATTTGAATCAAACTAGTTAATAAGAACAACTATTAGCTGGGCATAGTGGCACATGCCTGTTATCCCAGCCTTCAGGAGGCTGAGGCAGGAGGATCTCCACAGGTTCGAGGCCAGCCTAGGCTACATAGAGACCTTTCTCATAAAAGCCAAATAATAACAACAATAATACAGTTATTAGCAGTGTGATACTTGGGGTCACTTGAGACACGCGGAGAACCCACTGCTGTGGTTTGGGAATTCTGTAAGCCAGGTGTTAGCAGCTGGTAGCATGAAGCTACCGTGGTTATTAGTCTTCTGTTACTGCATTGTCTCAGCCAGCTTCCCACTACTGCAACGAAATAACGGAGGCCACGAACCTAGGAAGAGAAAAGCCTTCTTCAGCTCACAGTTCTGAAGGATCTGGCTGAAGATCTGGCAGTCCTGGTGCCCTGGGCCCCTGTCAGGCTGAACACCCTAATCACGAGCCAGAAAGCAGAGCAAGAGCCCACGAGACCAGGGACCGCTGGGCTCCTCTCCAACAACGAAGCAGCTTCCTCAATGCCCAGGAGGTAGCACCCCCAGTCTGCAGTCCTAAATGTCACACACTAACCTGTCACCCACGCCTCATTCTGTAGGGCAGCCCCAGGTCGCAGACCCAAGAGGAGGGGACACTCCACAGTGTGACTCACGGGGATGCCCTCCTCACCAGCAGGAGCACGCGTGTCATAAAAATAAGCAAATGCTAACATTGAAGTGCTTTTACCCCTACGAGCTGTTTCCTAGCACATTTATGACGGCCAAGGATTTCTATGGAAGCTAAAAAACTTACCAAGAAGCCAGACATGGTCCCAGTTACTCAAGAGGCTGAGGCAGGAGGGTCACTTGTGCTCATGAGCTTGAGTCCAGCCTAGGCAACATAGCAAAACCCCATCTCACCAAAAAAAAAAAAAAAGGGACCAAGAAATTCAGGGTTCCAGGCAAAAAGAAATTTAGGACCCACTCATCCAAGAAATTCCTCTCAAGATTAAGAAACACACTCTTCCAATTTTTAAAATTACCCAAATTTTGCTTTTCACTATTTTTTATATTTTGGTTTCTTGAGACAGGGTCTCACTATGTAGCCCAGGCTGGCCTCGGACTGGTGGCAATCCTCCTGCTTCAGCCTCCCGAGTGCAAGGATTACAGGCGTGTCTTACCACACTTGGTTCATGGACGAATGCTTTCTTTCCACTTGGGTAAATATCCAGTAATGGAAGCAGACTGTAGGTGATGTTTTATTTTTTAGTAACTGCTGACCTGGTTTCCCACAGAGGTCTCACCATCTTACATTCCCACCAGGCTTGACTAATGTCCCTGAGCCCCTGGGTTTGGTCCCCAGTACTGCCAAAAAAACACAAAGTAGCACTGGGTAACAGATCAGAAATTTAGAAAATTCATCCTTCACCCGTGCAGTTTAAGAAACACTGATTTACAATCTCTATCAATAAACACCTGGCTGGAGACTAGTTCTGTACTCTCCTTTCCCGGGATGTGTCTCTCCTGCTCTCTTGTTCTTGAAAGGCCATTTTCCCAGGTGTTGCGTCTGAAGCTGATAGCTGTCCCCTTTAGCCCTCATGTTTCGCTGTCTTCTCATTGCCGATGTTTCTTTGGAGAGATCGGCGGTCAGTCTCACGGCGGCTCCTTTGACAGTTATGTCTTTTTATGTTCTGCCTGCTTTATTATTCCCAAGCTTGCTGTAGATGTGCCCTGTAGGATGTGACCTTTTATTCATGCTTCCTGGGACCCTCCTACCATCTGCGTATGTGCTTTTTATTGGTTCCGGTCATCGTCCCACGTGACCTCCACCCCATCCCAGCCCCCACCTCCTGATGCCCCTGTTAGACACACAGGAAACCCTCTCACTGGACTCCCCAGCCACGCTCTATTCCCAACTCCTCCCCTCTGCTAGATCCAGACAGTCTCCTCAACAAACTCTTTCTCCAGCTTTCCTCTGGCCGCTTGTCCGTCTACCCACGGTGGAATACAAACTGCATGAGCTGGAGCCCTTGTGCACTGCGTTCGCTCTTGTGTGCTTGAACTTAAAACCCAAAAAATCTATGATGAATGAGCGAAGGTCACCAGGTAACGCCATCCTTGCGTTCCTCGGCCTCCTGGCGACTTCCCAGTCTCACCCCTGGGCACCCTGCCCCCACCGGACCTGCGATTCCCCATAATCACGTTTCTCCAGGGAAAAGAATCCCTGTTGCTAAAATAATGAGATGTCCCTGCTTGGGCCGGACCACAGTGAGTGTCCGTGAGAGGCAAAGGAAAGTGACACCCAGGCACCACGCCCACCACGCTGCTCTACTCCCGGGAAACAGCCGGAAGTCTGACGCTAGAACATCAGAACTCAGTGGGCCGGGGATGTAGCTCAGCAGCACAGCGCCTGCCTGGCAAGTGCGAGGTTGTGAGTTCGATCCCCGGTACCAAAAAAAAAAAACCAAAGAGAAAATCAGAATTCAGCTTCCAAAGGGCAGTCGGGGGTAACTAAGGGCTGTTCGAGACTGACAGAAAATCAGCCTTAAAAAAAAAGAAGCAAATCACCAGCAGAGTCAAAAGAAAACCCACAAACTTGGAAAAAATTTTAGCTGATTGTCCCTCAGACAAAGGGCTTCTATCTAGAACATATAAAG